AAGGAGAGCCACAAAGGGAGGAAGAGAAAGAGAGAGGGAGAAAGATATGATAAAGTTGTCAAAACTGCGGAGTGGAGAACCTCGCGGCTGTACAGATGCTAAGCGTGCGGCGAGTGGCCGAATAGCTCTCTGGGATATAATCGCCCAGAAATGAAACCGGTCGGTGAAAGATGACACGATTACGTTGTTTAAAAATAACGCACTCACCCGCGACGGCTCCAAATGAATCTGCATTGCGGTGTCCTAATTCGGTAGCGTCTGGCCGATTGTCCACGACAACTTCCAAACGCTCTCCACCCTTTCAATTTCCCTCCCAACCATATCAACGCACTCGGAACACGTGGATGGTCTTCGGCATCATATGCTGTGAGTTTAATCGCCAGAAGCAGCTTTGTGACGTCCACTTTGGCGGTCTCGGCAAAAAGGTCGGCTCCTGACCAGACAAAAACTTGACCCCAAGACAGTGGCATGGGGTTGGGGGCCTTCTAATAGAGCTGGAGCGCTATTACATCCACTCAACTCTCAGCATCGGACACTGAGAATCGGTCAATGGCCCTTTGCCCAGGTTCCTGCCGCTACCTAAGCCGGTACAATTCGCGTACCGGAACGGACATAAGCCACTACTTGGCAGCCGAAAAGAGAGAGCGAATTGGGCACAAGGTCACGATGTGCCCCTGGCCGAACAGGAAATTGGAAACGGATAGGCGCTGGTGACTGGTGGTGCATTAATGACGCAGTACGCGCACTGCTTACAAAGGCCCTACAGTATGACGTGCTGTCCAGACGCTCCTTCGCACGCGCCCAGGAGCGTCGAACAGGCCCGAGGCTTTTGACAACAGCCTTCTGTGTCGCACCATGGCGTAACCGTATCGCACGGCGGTCCTGCGCCCGCTCGCCGCCATGCCCCTGCCGGTGTGTTGTCGCCTCGGTTGGCCCCAGCTCCAGCGGGGGATGGTATCGCCCTGGGGAGGACAACGGAGGCCGCCGGCAACTGCCGGTGTGTTGTCGCCTCGGTTGGCTTCAGCTCGAGCGGGAGACGGTATCGCCCTGGGGAGGACAACGGAGGCCGCCGGCAACTCCCATCCGTAAACAGTCATTACTTAGCCAGCGGGCGTCGGCAGGTGCGTGACATCCCCTGGCCCCTCCCCCCCCCCCCCCCCACCATCCGCGCGGACTGTCCGCGGACGCTCGGTGGGGAGAAAACACGCTGTTCTATTCCGTGGTTGTCCATGGCGGCAGACTGCTCACTATGCGGACGACGCAGCCCAGTTTGGTTAGAGGCAGCTCTTTTGTTTGAGGCCCACGTGGTTGTTGGAGACCCATTATTACCAAAGGTTAGCTCAAAACGACAGCTCAGGCTTACAATTTTCCGCTGAGTATTTTCTGTGGGGTAATAATGTTATTCCGCGTGATGCGATGGTTGGAATCTGATCGGCTAGCTTGCAGATATTTTTAGCTCGCCGTCCACGAGATGATTGCAAGTACCACTGGTTACGAATGCGTCGTTGTGCGTCACTATCCGTCAGACGTATTGATGTGGCCGACAAGCCGTCGATCTCCAATCAAACAGATCACAACTCGCTGCCAAGAGAGCTTGCAGCATCCGATCGAGCACAGGGTGGTATTCAATGTTGCCATCTGGTAACACTTAACCCGCAATTAGCAATACGAAACATCATCTTTGCAATGAACAGATGCTATATCGTGTTACGCATTCTCCTATTACACATGCTGCAGAACACATGTTACTACTGATCGGTGTCTACTCCAGGGCGTAGGTGCATGACGTGTATGTGTGTTTGCGTTTTGCGTGAATTGCTGATATAGTGTAGGCTGCTGATATCGTGCCAACGGCTAATGTCGTGCGAACTGCTGATGTGCGTGCGAACCGCTGATGTGCGTGCGGCCGACACTCACCCCAAGAGTGGAGAGCTGGGACGAGGAGCGCTGCTGGTGGATAGCCACCAGGCGGTCGATGTCGTCGTCGGGCTCCGAGATGGGCAGGCTCGCCACCGAGCGGCGGTCCAGCGTGGACGACGAGCGCGCTGCCAGCGGCGACTCCCCTGGCCTGCACGGGACGCCTGGCGGCCGCTCGTCTGCCACACACAAAAGATCAACAGAGGTTATAAGGAACCCAGAGGTCATGGCGCCTGGCGACCGCTCGTCTGCCGCACACAAAAGATCAACAGAGGTCATACGGGGCCCAGAGGTCATGGCGCCTGGAGACCGCTCGTCTGCCGCGCACCAAGGTCAACAAGGGTCATACGGGAAGATTAGGACATCGGAGGTAAGAGGGACCGCAGAGGTCGGAAGGCACACAGCGCCACCGGAGGTCAGAGGGAACACGAACGTCACCAGAGTTCTGACGGACACATTGGTTGCAAAGGCTGGCCACCGCCCCCCTAACGATCACAGATGTCATCAGAGGTCTGAGGGGTCAAATAAGTCACTCACGGTAGAAAGACACACCCAGGTCATTGCAGTTCAAAGGGCGACATGAGACCTTGCTGGATGGCAGCTACGCATCGAGAACACAGGGCACGAGAGCCAGAGACAATATCCCGCTTGTCTGCCGCGGGAAGAGATAGCCTAAGATGAGAGGGAGCACAGACATCGCCGAAGTTTAATGGGCACACAGGTTTTCTTGTAGGTTAAGGGCACAGAAAACACCAGATTTCTGAGAGCAAGGTACTGAAGCGTAAGTGCGCACAAATTTCACCAAAGCTCAAACGTTCGTGACGTTTTGTGATACCGTGCCCGGCACAAGATACATTCAGGCCTACAGCACAGAAAATTACTTGTTACTCGTATAGTTAATTTCCGATTTGTAACACCTA